CCTAGGGTTTAAAGGTGGCTTGAGAATGCCAAAAGGAATTTCATGATGTTTTTTAGAAATTTGATTTGATTTGATTGGTTGATGAAATAGGGAAACTTGGGTGGGGAGTTGAATTGAATCGAGCTGCTTAGACAGCGATAGAGTAGAGTTGTTGATCTAGAATCTTGATAGATGTTAGTTATGGAGCGCACAGCACGAAATGAAGCTGTTGGAATAGAAAATTCAGCCAATTTGGCAGAGTTGGTTCTGCGAATCAAGTTCATCGCTTGATTTCGCTCTCAAATTCTGCCAAAAGAATTTCATGATGTTTTTTAGAAATCCTGGATGGCACAGCACGAAATGAAGCAGTTGGAATTGAAAATTCAGCCAATTTGGCAGAGTTGGTTCTGCGAATCAAGTTCATCGCTTGATTTCGCTCCCAATTTCTGCCAAAAGAATTTCATGATGATTTTTAAAAATCCTGGAGCGCACAGAAATGAAATCTATTGGAGTTGAATTGAAAAAAACAAAATAAAAACTGGTAATCAGTTGGGATTCTCTCGAAATTAGCATTTAAAGCCGTTGGCTGAGTATCTTTTACCGTAATCCTTTTGTCGCAAATCTCCATTTAACTCAAATCGATTGGCTCTCGAAAGCCGGGATAATCCGGGGAAAATTGGAATTTTCAGCTTTTCACGAAAATCCAAAATTTATCGATTTCTCGGGTGGATGCATGAAAAAAATAAATACTCATTTTCGAAGAGTGAAAATGATTGGAAAGTGAGGATTCTTTTGATTGATTTTTAATGGATGACTTCCAGTATTTCCAAAAATTAAAACAAAATCAGAAAATCGATTACAGGCTGGAGTAAATGCGCGCGAAAGCTTATCAACGCGCTACCGACTTTTCGAATGCGCCGATTTTGATGGAAATTTTCTTGCTCGCCAAGCTGGAAAGCACAATAAAAATTGGTGAAATCGGATTTTTGATTTTCATCAAAAAAAAAAAAGTTTTTAGCTCGGTCGGTTCAATCACTGTAAAAACATTGTTAAATGAGCTCAATTCTGGTGTTATTTTATATTTCGCTTAGTTGGAAGTCACATAATAAATTGGCGCACTAAAATCACACTAAAACCAGTTTTTGATTTTTGTGTTTTTTACTTGGTTCAGTTACCCAACTACAACCAACTGAAATTTTTCTTTCCCATTTTTACTGACCAATCCATTGCTTGCGGCTCTTGTGCACTCCAAATTTGAGTTTCCCGCAAAATGCTCGATCTGATCAATCGAAATAATCAGCTTATCGAGGCCAAAATTTGCATTTAAGAGTGCCTTTCAATAAATTCGAAATTTATCGATTTAAGCGTTTTCATTCGCTTTTCTGCCTTCCAGATAGATGGAATTTGCAAAAAAAATTTGATGTTTTCTTTCGAAAATTAAAAAAAAGCGTCTCATCTCGTTGCTTTTCGTTTTTGATGAGTCTGCTGGCCGAAAATTCATTAAACCTTCAAAATTTTTACATTGATTTCCCATGTTTTATTGACTTTTTCACTTTTAAGCCTTAAAAAATCAAAAAACAAAAAAGCAAAAGCGGCTTCGGGGATCGAACTCGGACCCTCAGACTTGGAGCCGAGCTCGCTAACCACTCGGCCACCGGTACAATTGCCAATATTTCTTTTCTGAATATCTTAAAATTTACTGTGCTTTCCAGATCGCATAAAAACCTTTGCATTAACTTCATTATCTCTAGAAAATGGCTTAAAAACGACCAGTCCCAAAATTTTTCTCTGCCAAAAACCGTCTCAATCAGTTTTCTTGAAATTTCGCATGTCAATCCCAACAATTGAATGGTTTTTCCTGTTATCTGGAAGTCACAGAACAGCTTGGGATGGCAAGGAGGCAAGCTGGCAGCCATTCCAATTCAACTGCCTTCGTGTCGATTAGAGTTTGGCTGATTTCCTTGAAAACTTATATGCAAATCCTAGGGTTTAAATGAACGAATCTCCAAGCTGGAGGGCATGTACCAATATCCTGAAGTTAGATTTCTAAAAATGAAGCCCATTTACCTAAAACTTTCCATCAAATTCTTCCATTTTCACACTAAAGTCGTTAGAAAAATGTGAAAACAATCGAAAAATTTCGACGAGAATCCTATTTTTCTTTTGTTTTTCTTCTTTTCTTTTAAAAATCCCTCCCTTTCCCACATTTTTCTCTATTTGCGAACGCGTAACCGATCTTTGTTAGAGCACAGAAAAGCAGGGAAAAGAGTTTGCGCAAAAATAACGACATCTATAAAAGTTTTTTCGAATTTTCGATTTCCAAATGAAATCCTGGAAGGCATGCTATTTAATTCTCTCAAAAAAATATTTTTTTGAAGCTTTCGAAATTTTCCTATTTTTCACAGATTTCAATGATCGATAAGGTGTTTTTTTTGCTAGAAAAATGGAAAAGCGACAAAAATATCTCATTTTATATTGTCTGCAAAGAGTTTTAAGATGATTTCATTGAAAAAAAATAAAAAACAAAAGTTTTGCGCGCTCCGGGGATCGAACCCGGACCCTCAGACTTGGAGCCGAGCTCGCTAACCACTCGGCCACCGGTACAATTGCTAATATTTCTTTTCTGAATATCTCAAAAATTTTTGTGCGTTCCAGATCGGATAAAAAGCTTTTCATTAACTTCATTATCCCCAGGAAATCGCTTAAAAACGGTCAGTCCCAAAATTTTTCTCTGCCAAAAGCGTCTCAACCAGTTTTCTTAAAATTTCGCATATCAATCCCAACAATTGAATGGTTTTTCCTGTTATCTGGAAGTCACAGAACAGCTTGGGATTCCAGGAGGCAAGATGGCAGTCATTCCAATTCAACTGCCTTCGTGTCGATTAGAGTTTGGATGATTTCCTTGAAAACTTATATGTAAATCCTAGGGTTTAAATAAATTCTCCTCCGATCTGGAAGGCACGTTACAATATCCTAAAGCTAGATTTCTAAAAATGAAACCCATTTACGGCTCCGGGGATCGAACCCAGACCCTCAGACTTGGAGTCGAGCTCGCTAACCACTCGGCTATGATTACTTATGCTAATATTTCTTTTTTGAGTCGCTTAAAATTTCCTGTGTATTCCAGATCTTATGAAAAAAGATTTATTGATGTCGTTTATCCCGAAAAAGTGGCCCAAAGAGGCCCAGTCCTGTAAATTTTCTAGAGAAACGCTTGTTTTCACTAGTTTTAACTTGTAAAATGTTGTAAAAACTATTTTTCAGACATGCCTGATTCCCGTGAACCTCTTTCCTCGGCGATCACCGGTCCACAGTTCATCAGCTTCAACTATGTTTGGCCGGTTAAGGTAAATTCTTCTCCGAAAGAAAAAAAAAGGCAGTTGGGTGATTGAGCCGGGGCTAAAACTTTAGAGAAGTCTTATCTGGAAGGCACGAGACCTAATTCACTTGTTTAAGTACCATGTTATAGTTGATTTTTTGGTATCATTTTACAGGCTACAGTATACCGAGTTTAAGTCTGTTTACAGTACTCCTTTCAATGCAAATCTCTATTTCAGATCTCTCTGCGCACGATTTCCGTTGACGATTCAGTCATTTTGCATGTTTCTCCCAAATTCGCAACTGTTTACGATCATGTTTCATTTCAGTGGAGTCTCAAAATCCATGGAACAACAGGAGGGGTATTGAATTTTTAACTACAAGTCTAATCCATCAGATTAAACGACATCCAGCTCTAGTGACATCCAGATCAGCCAAATAAACAAAAACCAACTCAATATCTTCAACAATCCCCGAGATTTTTGAGAGAACTCAAAACTCAAAAAATACTTGAAAAAATAGCCATTAATTCAACTCTTGATCCCATCTAGCATCACCGGTGACGTCCAGTTCGGCTAAATAAAGAAAAGCTGACTGATGATTTCGCGAATTGGCTGAGATTTTTGAGGGGACTTGATGGGGCTTGATTGGAATCAGTCACTTTGTACTTTTTAAATCATTCTGTACCACTTTAGCTCTGCTCTGACGAGGAGATCGACTCAGAAGCATATCCCGATGAGAATGTGCCCGATCCGGCAAATTATGTCGCTGTCGAGTTGTACTATGTGGATGGGCCGGTGAACCAGGTGAATTCGAGTACTGTGGAGTATCAATCCCAGCAATTCAATGATTTTTCCTGTTATCTGGAAGTCACAGAACAGCTTGAGCGACCAGGAGGCAAGCTGGCAGCCATTCCAGTTCAACTGCCGTGTCGATTAGAGTTTGGCTGATTTCCATGAAAACTGATATGTAAATCCTAGGGTTTAAATGAATCTCCCCCCGAGCTGGAAGGCACGTTACAATATCCTAAAGTTAGATTTCTAAAAATGAAACCCATTTACGGCTCCGGGGATCGAACCCAGACCCTCTGACTGGGAGCCGAGCTCGCTAACCACTCGGCTATGATTACTTAGGCTAATATTGCTTTTCTGAATATCTCAAAATTTTCTGTGCTTTCCAGATTGCATAAAAAGCTTTTCATTAACTTCATTATCTCTAGAAAATCGCTTAAAAACGACCAGTCCTACCCGCAAAAACCGTCTCAACCAATTTTCTTAAAATTTCGCATGTCAATCCTAGCAATTCAATGGTTTTTCCCGTTATCTGGAAGTCACAGAACAGCTTGAGCGGCCAGGAGGCAAGCTGGCAGCCCTTCCAGTTCAACTGCCGTGTCGATTGGAGTTTGGCTGATTTCCTTGAAAACTGATATGCAAATCCTAGGGTTTAAATAAACTAATCTCCAATCTGGAATGCATGTAACAATATCCTAAAGTTAGATTTTTAAAAATGAAACTTTCAACGTATCCAAAATCTTTAGATTGACGTGAACGCGAAATTCTCAATTTCGATCAATCCGGGGAAAGAGCCAAAGGAAAAAACGAACGGTTCAAGAGTTGAGGAGAGTGAGTTTTCCCTGAGAATCCCATTTGATCGCTAACATTTTCGGCAAAATGATGCTAATGCAACGGGGACTTTCTCACGAGATGACACACGCTGACCGGGCACACGTTTCCGAATATATAATGGTGGATTTTGGTTTAAACAACTTAGAAATAGCTTAGTTTTGTAGAAGAGATTTCAGGCTTTCGAATGACACTAAAAAAAGTTTAATTGAGTCAGCCAATCCCAAGAAAATGGCACTGGTTCAATTACGCAATTTTTCCGGAGCGCTAAACTTTCAGTCTTCTTTCAGTCTCTATTTTCTTGGGATTGGCTGGCCCAATCAAGCTCTTTTTGGTATCATTCGAAAGCCTGAAATCTCCTCTTTCAAATGATATTAAAAGATAACAGTAATATAATCTCTAAGCAAAGTTATAGGTCTTTAAAGTCTTTGCTATTTTCTTGGGTTTCTTGAAGAAGTGATTGACTTTAAAGACCTATAACTTTGCTTAGAGATTATATTACTGTTATCTTTTGATATTATTTGAAAGAGGAGATTTCAGGCTTTCGAATCATACCAAAAAGAGCTTGATTGGGCTAGCGAATCACGAAAAATCGCGAGTGAAACTTTTGGCGCTTTGGAAGCGATTGCCAACTGAACCAGTGCCATTTTCTTGGGATTGGCTGATCGAATTAAGCTCTTTTTGGTATCATTCGAAAGCCTGAAATCTCCTCTTTCAAACGATATTAAAAGTTAAGAATAATAGAATCTCTAAGCAAAGTTATAAGTCTTTAAAGTCTTTGCTATTTTCTTGGGTTTCTTGGGTTGTGGCCTGGACCTGGACTGATTTCCAATCTAAAATTTTCAACTCAAAAAAGCTTTCTACAATCATTGTGCATTCCAGCTTTTGCAATGCAACTATTTTTAAGGTAAAATCTCAAAGGATTACTCAAATTCTCCGGCATTCTCAATTCAAGAATATCAATTTCATTTAAGTCCATTTTTTTCTAGTCTAAGGACTTGGAAGTTGTTGTGTGCGTTCCAGATCACACAGAAATTCGTTTTGATTGACTCTAGATCGAATTTGAATCTAGGAAAACGTGGGGAACTCGGTGCGCGTTTCGGTGACTCTCCGAATGGAATCGCGGCTTTTTGATCCGTTTTTTTATTTGGACGCCTCGACACCGACGCCACAGGTTTGAATTTTCAAAGGTTTGGTTTCGAATTTCTTCAGGAATCTTTTCTCACCGCCAACTACAAGGCAAGAGTGAACAGTAAAATTTGGAAGAAACGAACGAAACGGTGAGTTTCGAGTTCGTCCTCGTAAACGCATCCCTTTTGGCGCATTTGGTTTAGTTTCTAAGCCAGACTTCAATCTGGATGTCACACTATGTTTTTCAATTAAAAAAATAGGCTTTTTCGAAAATCAAAACTTTTCGTCATCCGGCTGTACTTTGTCCTCCCATGTAAACGCATCCCTTCTATTGCATTTGGTTTAGTTTCTAAGCCAGACCTCCATCTGGATGTCACACTAGCTATTTCAATTAAAAAAATAGGTTTTTTCGAAAAACAAAACTTTTCGATACCCGGCTGTACTTTGTCCTCCCATGTAAACGCATCTCTTCTATTGCATTTGGTTTAGTTTATAAACCAGACGTCGATCTGGATGTCACACTAGCTATTTCAATAAAAAAATCTAGTGTTCATCAACATCAATCAAACAAAATCCCCCGCCATGAGAAAGTGGATTACGAGGAGAGATTCAGGATGGTGATGGACGCGGAAGAGCAACCATTTTTAACAGTCACGTCTGAGAAAAAGGTATTCCAGTGAAGTTATGGCTGGGAGGCAGTTCTTGCGCGGCTCTGGGTCTGGCTCAGGGTACTGTAGCCTATTTGGGGTACGGTAGAGCTTCAACTAATTTGAAACCATTTTTCATCGTCCAAAGTCTATCCAAATTGTCGCGTGCGTTCCAGATGGCACAAAAATTAGTTTCGATCGCTTCACAACTTTCAGAATGAGCGCCGAAAGTCGTTGATCTCGTTGCGGAGGAGCTCGACCAATGCAACGATCACCGATCAATTGTCACAAGCACCCGATCACGACCATTTGTTTAAAAAGGTTCATACTGTGGGCTAGCCAGCTTTGTAGCTAATTTTCAGCTACTGATCGCTTGTTGTGACTCGTGTCGGCGACGACGCGCCTCGTCAGCGATTTCGAATCCAGAAGACTCACAACCTGAGCCGGATAATGGTGAGGATTACTCACTGAGCCAGTTCTAGATTCTGTGCGTTCCAGATCGGATAAAAAGCTTTTCATTAACTTTATTATCCCCAGGAAATCGCTTAAAAACGACCAGTCCTAAAACTTTTCTCTGCCAAAAACCGTCTCAATCAGTTTTCTTAAAATTTCGCATATCAATCCCAATAATTCAATGATTTTTCCTGTTATCTGGAAGTCACAGAACAGCTTGCGAGTCTAGGAGGCAAGCTGGCAGCCATTCCAATTCAACTGCCTTCGTGTCGATTAGAGTTTGGATGATTTCCTTGAAAACTTATATGTAAATCCTAGTGCTTAAATAAATTCTTCTCCGAGCTGGAAGGCACGTTACAATATCCTAAAGCTAGATTTCTAAAAATGAAAAACAAAAGCTTTAACGGCTCCGGGGATCGAACCCGGACCCCCAGACTTGGAGTCGAGCTCGCTAACCACTCGGCCATGATTACTTATGCTAATATTTCTTTTCTGAGTCGCTTAAAATTTCCTGTGTATTCCAGATCTTACAAAAAAAAGTTTATCCATGTCATTTATCCCAAAAAAGTGGCCCAAAAAGGCCCAGTCCTGAAAATTTCGTTTAGGTCCAGGTCCAGGTCAGGTCTAGGTCAGGTCCCCTGCACTACATCTAATCCTAGACCCTATAAGTTATCAATTACAATTTCTAGATGACGCTGACGATGAAGACGAAGAGGAACCGGAGAGTTTTGAATGCAACGAACAAGATAAGGAACATGTACATGATGTGGGGTTTGAGATTGAAAAAGTTACCGTGGAAAGGGATTGAAAGTCCGGCAGCTCGTCATGTGCATTCCAATTTGAGCAAATAACAAAGAAACAAGGGAAAACGTGAAGAAATCGAGCGGGAAATGCGGTGAACGCGAAACGAAAAAAACCACCTGCCAAAAATTTCGATATTTTAATCAAATTTTTTTTTAAATCGCTTACCTGCATTCCAGATTGGCTAAATTTTCGAAATTTTCTTTGTCACCTAACAAACTTTAGCTCTTGGCTAACATGTACTTCAACAAGATGGTTTTACCGCATATGGAGTATGTTGAGGTGAGCTAGCTGACGGGAATCAGCAAGCTGGATGTCACAGCAGCTTTTGATGTATATTAGAGGGGAGGTTACTGTAGATGTAGAGTACAGTACTGTACACAGTACACTATCGTAGAATGTGAAGTAGTGATTGAAGTATGTGCTTTAAAGCCTGTTGTGACATCCAGATCGGTCATTTCTTTTTTCGGAATTGAAATTAGGGCTATTGTAGCGTACTGTAGGGTCCAGTCTTGTAGCTGTCTGAACACTATTCTGAAATTTGTAGAAGTGAACAAAATCTGTACTTTAAAGCCTGCTGTGACATCCAGATCAGCCATTTCTTTTTTCGGAATTGAGATTGAGGTTACTGTAGAGTATTGTAGAGTACAGTCCTGTACCTGTCTGGACACTGTCTTGAAATGTGAAGTAGTGAACGAAATCTGTACTTTAACGCCTACCGTGACATCCAGATCAGCCATTTCTTTTTTCAAAACTGGAATTGATCAACGGATGATTCCAGGATTTTGTCGATTTCCTCATCGACGCCGAGTTGAACGATTTGCCGGTGCTGAAACGAGCTTGCGAGAGATATTTGTGCGGAGAGTTGAATCTGGTACGTACGTGAACTTTGTACAGTTTTATCCTGTTTTTCTCCAGAAAAAAGACCTCGCCACGTCACTGATCCTCGATTTGCTCTTCATGTCGATCGTTTTTCATCTGCCAGTGATGAAATCAATGACTTTATCGGGTAACAGCATAAATGCAAATTCTAGACGGGTATACGGTAACGCGATGTCTTTTAGAGCTCTCCTATCCGACGAGAGCCCAAGAATTGGCGGATCCGGAAAAGCTCCTTGAACAGGACGAGTACAGGTTCGTTTTTCTTAATCAATCGGTAGTGTGCGCTCCAGATTGAGCAATTGAGCAATCGGAAGTGTGTATGACTTGAAAATTGGCGAGTATTTTCAAGTGAACTGCGATCATTGCTATAGCTTTCAATCCACTGAAGCTGTTGAGATAATTTCTGCATTTTTCTCTGATCTGGAGCGCACATGACAAGTTACAGTAGTCAGATTGAAAAAATCTAACGAGAATTTTCTGGGAAGCACTATTTAGAAAATGGTTAAGGAAAGTGGTCCTGAAATTTTATTTTTCTCCAATCTGGAAGGCACATGTACCGCTACAGTAGTCAAATTCGACAAATTTTGAAGAAAATTTTCTGGGTTACGGTAGCTTTTTCCAGGGAGCACTTTTTAGGTAATCGTTTTTTTAGGTAATCGTACAGTACCCACAAAATCTCGCTTCTTTTGCAGATCGCTGGACAAACGTATGCGTACACTTTCCGATCGAAACTTGATCGAATTGATCGAACAGTGCGCCCAGTTTCGCGAACAACGCCTACGGGTCACCTCATTTTGACGATTTTCGATGGAATTTTGTGTCGAAAATCGAGATTTATGCTATTTTTTGGATAAATTATCGTAATAAAGTGTTTTTAATAAAGAAAAAACACAGTAAAACAACAGAAAAAGCAAAGAAAACGGCGAAAAAAGGCAAAGTAAAGAAATTTCCGTTTTCCAAAAACTACCGTATCCCAAAGAGACGTCTCTTTGCGAATATATAAAAAATTTCCCTAAAATTTTCTCATTTTGCGGGAGTGGAACAAATGCGACCTTTTTTTGCGCACCCGGACATTTGCGCACCTTTTTTCGCGTTTTAAAGCTAATATTAAGCTCTAAAAGCTAATATTAACCAATTTCTATTCCAAAAGTTGTTTTTCTAGGTAATTTGAGGGCGTAGAATCGAAATTTTGGCATAACAGGGCGTGTGGGGACTTTTCCAATATCGGGGGAGCGAAAGGAAAATCGGGGGAGCGAAAGGAAAATCGAGGGAGCAAATTTTGCCCCCTCGAAAATACAGTCCCGGAAATGCATTTCCGGGACTGTATTTTAACTGCAACGTTTTTTTTCAAACTTTAACGACGTTGCGCTTCTCCGATATTTGTGCGTTCAAGGAATCGACGGCAATCGATTATTTCGTCACCAAAGGAGTCATCCAGTTGTGGATTTGCAATTGTGGCGAATCGATGAAAGTTCGCTCAAAGGGAAAAGATCTATTTCGCTAATATAAATCTAATATAAAGGTTGTGAGAATAACGGGTAATTCGCGGATTTTATGGCGCTAGTTTGTATAATATAGGACATATGTAGCGCTGCCAAAATTTGCTCCCCCGATTTTCCTTTCGCTCTCCCGATAATCCTTCCGCTCCCCCGATATTGGAAAAGTACCGTCGAATTCAAATTTTGACATAACAGAGCGTGTGGAACCAATTTGAAAGACAAAACGGCTAGATCAAATTACAGAAAATTGTTGATTTTTCTCTTTGTATAACTCCGTCCGTTCGCTTCCAAAAGCTCTGATATGTCAAAATTTCGATTCTACGCCCTAAAATTACCTAGAAAAATAACTTTTGGAATAGAAATTGGTTATTAACCAAAGAAATTGGTTAATATTAGCTTTTAGAGCTTTTAGAGCTTAATATTAGCTTTAAAACGCGCAAAAGGTGCGCTAATGGGCTAAGTGCGGAAAAAAAGGTGCGCAAATGTCAGGGTGCGCAAACAAAAAGATCGCATTTGTCCCACTCCCCATTTTGCTTTCTTTTGCTGAAATTTTATCGTTTTCTTGTTCTTTTTTTCAATTTTAAACTGTTAAAACTAAAGATTTCTTGAAATTTTTCATTTTTAGGCATGCTGGGTGGAAAAAAGCACTCAACAAGGGATCTGACGGCCAAAAATTCGGTGAGCTTTGTTAAAATTTGAACGATAAGTGCTGAAATTGGTGTTTTTTACTTGCAAAATGGTCAGTTTTTAGGCAAATCGAGTCACCGCGCGTGTTTTAGCTTAAAAATAGCGTAGTCTTGCTACAGATTTGCAGCTTTTAGGTTCTGAGCGGGAAATTAGCGCGTTTTGACTTAAAAACGATTCAATTCTACCCAAAAACGTGCTATTTTGAAGCTAATTGCATCTCTAGCGCGTGTTTTAGTTTAAAAACAGCAAAAGCTGGCTTAATTTTTGCAGATTTTCTGTTTTGACGTTAAATTAGCGCGTTTTGACTCAAAAACAATAAAATTCTATCCAAAAACGTGCAATTTTTAAGCCAATCGAGTCACCGCGTGTATTTTAGCTTACAAATAGCGTAGTCTTGCTACAGTTTTGCAGCTTTTAGGTTTTGAGCGATGAATCAGCGCGTTTTGACTCAAAAACAATAAAATTCTATCCAAAAACGTGCAATTTTTAAGCCAATCGAGTCACCGCGTGTATTTTGGCTTGAAAACAGCAAAATCTTGATCGATTTTTGCAGATTTTAGTTTCTGAGCGATGAATTAACTCGTTTTGACTTAAAAACGATTCAATTCTACGCAAAAACGTGCTATTTTTAAGCTAATTGCGTCTCTAGCGCGTGTTTTAGTTTAAAAACAGCAAAATCTTGCTCGTTTTTTGCAGATTTTAGGTTCTGAATGGGAAATTAGCGCGTTTTGACTCAAAAACGATAAAATTCTACCCAAAAACGTGCTATTTTTAAGCAAATTGTATCTCTAGCGCGTGTTTTAGCTTGAAAACAGCAAAATCTTGCTTAATTTTTGGAAACTGATCAAAACAGCGTCGTGTACAAACAGCGTCACGGCAAAAATAACGCCTTCGCGGTTAAGTTTCTATATGTTTCTTATTTTCATTGGATGTAGAAAAAAAATTAGCTATCTGCTGAATTTTTGGAACCGCTTTGAACAAATCTGGGATGGGAAAATGCCAAAAAAAAGACGGAAAGGGGTTAACTGAGCTTTTCTCGACATCAATTCTGTTTTAAGTGATCTCAAAGTGTGCAAAGTGTAGGTAATTTTATCCTGCATCCAATAAGAATAAGAAACACATAGAAGCCGCGGAGGGGTTATTTTTGCCGTGGCGCTGTTTGTAAACGGCACCGTTTTGATCAGCTCTTCAATTTTTGCATATTTTAGATTCTGAGCGCGAATTAGCGCGTTTTGACTTAAAAACGATAAAATTCTACCCAAAAACGTGCAATTTTTGAGCCAATTGCATCTCCCGCCTGTTTAACTTAAAGCTGTTAGCTGTTTAGCTTTTAGCTTAAAAACATCGAAGTCTTGCGGCAGATTTGCAAATTTCAGCGATGATTCGACTCAATGATTCGATTGGAGCGATGATTCGACTTAAAAAGGACTCAATTTTACCCTAGCACGTGCGGTTTTGCGGTTTTGCTTAAAATCTGTGTTTATTTACTGTTTATTGTGTGCAGTTTATAAAAAAAACCAGATTTTGACGGTTTTTTGAGTCAATGGATGACTTTAACACCGCGAAAAGCTATGATTTGGCCTGGAGACGCTATTTTGAAAGCTAATCACCGACTTATGCAGCTAAATCCTATCCAAATTTGTTCCCAATTTTATCCAGTAGCTTTATTCTACAATTTTATAATGTTTTCTTTGTTTAGAGCACAAAAGATGTGACGACAAAGTCGGTGGTCGGGCCACCTCGACGAAAGTATGGAATTAAAGGGTTTTTCGGACGATTCAAAAGAGTCAGCAAGTGCGTTTTATCGGCAAAATGTCGTAGTAAACATTAAAAAGCACGCTTCCGGTGTATTTTGAACGTAATTTGACTGACTGTGTGCTGAAACTTGGAAAAGTGTCGAAGATTTGAGGTTTTGTAGTTGATTTATCTTAAATATCCTTGCCTGACCGTAGAATAAGCATTTATTGAGCTGTAGAGTAAAATTCTAATTCAAAAAAGCTTATTGGAAGGTTAAGAATTTCAATTCTATATCAAATCCTTTTGCTTTAGATCCTCGAGCAAATCGAGCAGCCCACCAGTGATCACTTCACCGGGATCCCCAGAGAAAACTCGCTCGAACAATACCACCCACTCGATGCAAAGCAATGAGGAAGCGGTGGGTTTGCGGGGGGATTTTTGTCCAATCCGGATATCTTAATACTATTGTTAGTCTAATTTATCCGACAGCTCGTTCGCAGTGCTTCTGCTTAACTCGAACGCAGCTTGGCAAAGCTGTGCTCAAGGGCAAGGCAGAGGTTAAGCTCAAAAACAGCACTAGTCAGCTTCAGATAAACTTAAGCTGGTTCTAACTCTGTAACCAGCCTTGTTATAACTTTTTCTGTGTATAGCTTACCTGTCTGCCATAGCTGCTGCCATAAAGCTTGCCATACGAAGAATTTTTCGTTTAGAGTCTCAAATCTGGAGAGAGTTTGCCGACTCCGTTCAAGGAAAACGCGAATCTACGCACGATACTCTATGGGAACTCGTCGACATCGTTGCATCAGGAATTGGTGGGTTTTGATAAGATGAATTTTATGAATTTGACATCGATCGGCTTAGGGCACAGCTTCGAACAAAGAAAATTCATTCGAATCGATCCCGAAGCTCGGCGCCGTGTCACCAATATGCGAAGGGATTGACGCAAAGTTGCACTCGGAGCTGTCGATCACTCGCTCCTTCTCAACTCTATCAATCAATCGATCCGCGAAGACAAATACAAGGAATTTGCGACGAGTCAATAGGTGAGCGGAAGTGGAAAGTGATCCAAAATGTATACGGAGCTATTAGAGCGCAAAAAGACACCTTTTGGGTGGCGTTGGACCTGTCTAACATGTATCCAGAGCTATTAGAGAGTGAAATACTCTAATAGAAGCTCCTCCTATTGGAGCGTAGCGTAGTCTAAGTTTGCATTCCAAAAAAAACAGCTCATATCTCGGCGCCGAGACATTTTTTTTCTGTGCACTTAGGTATCAAATTAAAGTAGAAAGATAGGGGGATTTTTTAGATATAAGGCATATTTTTTAGCATTAACCAGCGTTTAGAAAAAAAATTATTGACAAATCGGCTCTGTTTACCACTTTTCAATAATTTTTTCCTAAGCGCTGGTTAAAGTTAAAAATATGTGTTATAGCTCAAAAGATCACCCATCCCCTTTACTTTAATTTGATACCCAAACGCGCAGAAACAAACGTACTGGTTTCGAGATATGAGCGTTTGTTTGAGAGTAAACTTCAAGCTTCGAATAGTATATGGTTCGTGTCATTAGGCCACCATAACGGGTTGATCTTCCCTTGTTAGGATACGCGATCCTCTTATAAAGAGGGTTCTATTTGAGTATTTACGGTAATTGAAATACTGCACGTCTGCGAAGTTTTACTAGTGTTGACTGGTTTAATTTCATCCTTTTCATTCAGTTCCAACTCACCGACAACTCCAGTCTCCCGTCTGCGCACGTATCAACCAAAAAGAACGACGGCGACAATTCCCGAACATGGCGAGACTTCGGTTAGTTGTATGTCCTCTAGACAACTTTAAATGTTTGTTTAGACCCCAACTTTCGAAGATTTTTCC